TGGGAGGCTGAGGAGAGTGGATTGCCTGAGCCCGCAGGTTCGAGACCCGCCTGGGCAACTAGGCGAGACTTCATCTCTACAGTAAATCAAAAAATTAGCCGGGTGTGGTAGTGCGCGCCTGTAGCTCCAGCTGTTGAGGCTGTGGTGGCCAAGAGCGGCCACTGCACTCCAGTCTGGGCGACAGAGTGAGACTCCAACTCAAAAGAAAAAACAAACAAAAAAAACGCATTGGAAGGCAAGGTATAGTAGCTTTCACCTGTCATCCCAGCACTTTGGGAGGCCAAGGTGAGAGGATTGCTTGAGCCCAGGAGTTCGAGACTAGCCTGGGCAACATAGACTTTAGCTCTATAAAAAAATTAAAAGGCATTGCAGCATGTGCCTGTAGTCCCAGCTATTCAAGAGGCTAAGGAGGGAGGATCACCTGAGCCGGGGGGTTAAGGCCGCAGTGCACTGTGATTGAGTCACTGCACTCCAGCCTGGGGGACAGAGTAAGACCTCAGCTTAAAAAACAGTTGGAGATCTGGGTATGCACCTGTAGTTCCAGCTACTTGGGAAACTGAGGCAGGAAAATTGCTTGAGGCCAGGAGCTAGAGGCTGTAATTTGCTATGATCATTTTTGTGAATAACTACTTTACTCTACCCTAGGCAACATAGTGAGATGCCATCTCTATAATTAATTTGTTAAAAGTAAAAACAGGTGGCCAGCCTCGGTGGCTCAGCCTGTAATCCCAGCACTTTGGGAGGCCGAGGTGAATGGACTGCCTGAGCCCGCAGGTTCGAGACCCGCCTGGGCAGCTTGGCAAGACCTCACCTGTACAATAAATAAAAAATTAGCTGGGCGTGGTAGCGCACCCAGCTACTTGGAAGGCTGAGGCGGAAGGATTGCCGGAGCCCAGCAGGTTGAGGATGCCGTGGCCGGGAGCGGCCACTCCGATCTGGGTGACAGAGTGAGACTCCAACTCAAAAAAAAAAAAGTAAAAACATGCAGTTTGTGTCTTCTTTAGATTATTCATCTGATTGTACTGGAGATGAATACTTTGTAATGCATATATTATAGTCGATTTAATGTTTCACTGACTGCATTGTGTGGCGTATTTTATTTTCTAACATGATTAATCGTAGTTATATAATCTCAGAGCTTTTAAAATGTGTATATATTGAATTTTTAAAATCCTATACCTAGTTCCAGTTGATCCGAGCCTCATTATAGTGGTTCAAGCCAAGGAAGATGCCTATATTCCACGAACAGGAGTTCGAAGTTTACAAGAAATTTGGCCTGGTTGTGAAATTCGCTATCTAGACGGGGGTCACATTAGTGCTTATCTTTTCAAACAAGGACTCTTCAGGTAAGGCAGTTGCTCTGAACAGGTGTTTGTGTGTTTGTGGTTTGTTTGTTGGGCATTTCTAGCCTCAGCACATACGGAAGATGGGTCATTTCTGTCATGCATTCCAGTCTTAACTTCCCCCTCACCTCCACAGATCTCCCAGTGAGGGCCTGTTCCCCCTTCTGTGTCACCCTCCGGCTTCCCTGTTTTTCTAGGGAAGGAGGGATGTGACACGCCCCAGGGATGCCGTGGTTTTACCCTCTTCGGCCAGGACCTGGGGGTGAGGAGGGCCGTTGCGCTCATCTGGTCCACGGGGTCGCGTCGGGAGCCGTGTGCTCGCCCTGAGGCTCCCTTGGGCCGCCAGAGCCTCTGTGGTATAACTCAGCTGCATCCCTTAGTGAGCGACACTGACCCATACGTGGCCCACAGCTTTCATGATAGCACCTACCGCGACTCTGCTATTTTAGTTCAAACTTACACAGACTTTTATGTCATAACTCCAGGACCCTGATATTCTGCATTATTTCTACTTCTATCCGCATGTGAGGGTAGAAGGTATCACTGGGATATGTTTCCCATTAGTGGTTAGTGAAGTAGTTCCCATAAATGCTGGATCGGCGCGCTGTGCATAAGTGTCCAAAACCGCCGGCTGGGTGGCTGTGTTGCAGTAGAGCTGTGTGGGACTTACGCTGGACACCTTTCAGCTCTTGTTAACGGAAGAAGTAGTGCTTTGTACATCGTTGCTTATTTAGTTCAGTTTATAAATGTCACCTCTTTGAGGTACAAACTGAGACGTCGAGTCTGTCATGTCTTGAAGGATATACTAAACCTTTCTTTTTATCATATGGCTTTTTTTTTGAGTTGGAGGCTCACTCTGTCGCCCAGGCTGGAGGGAGGTGGCACACTCCGACCATTGCAACCTTGACCTGCTGGACTCTGGCGATCCTTCCACCTCAATCTTCCAAGTAGCTGGAACTACAGGCATGTGCCACCACACCTGGCGGATTTTTTGATTTATGGTTGAGATGAGGTCTTGCCAAGTTGCCCCGGCTGGTCTCGAACCCATGGGCTCAGGCAGTCTCACCTTGGCCTCCCAAAGTGCTGGGATTATGGGTGTGAGCCACCACGCCTGCCTTTGTCGCATGATCTTTGAAAACATACTCGCCAGTGCCAAGTCCCCATTAGGTGGTGAGTGAGCGGACCCTCTGTCCAGTCAGTGGCGCCCTGCCACAGTGCCACCGAAACAGACGTGGCCCGGCTACTGTGCCAGACTTGCCCAAGGGCAGTCTGAAGCCCTCCTGGGCGTGGACGCAGAGGACCCCACGCTTGTGTGAGCAAGTCAGGGCCAGTTTCCGCTCCTCCTGTGTACGCAGGCGGGAGTTGAGCTGAGTGGGAAGAGCGGACCTGACCCAGGTCAGATGTGAACACTTGCAGGTGCTCAGGGGAAGGCTTTCCTTTGAGCCGGAGGTGAGCGTTCACCCTCAGCGTGGGCCAGACGCCAGGGCGAGTGCCTCGGGCGTCGTTGTCCCCTGTGCAGGGTAAGGTGGTGAAGGGGAAGGAGCGCCACTGAGCTCCTGGGCCTCGCCGCCCTCACGTCAGCCGATGTGGAGCACAGAACTCGACACATTCAGTCCTTTCCCCTGCCAGACAGAAAGAAGCCCCTCCTGATGTGCGCCGATGTTGCGTGTTGAGTCCTTGAGGGCTGATGGGTGATGCAGGGCACTGGAGACTGGCAATGACCCATGACACATCTGTGCGCCTTTCTGGGCCCTCCTGACCCCGTGGCGCCAGCCCGAGTTGCAGCCACAGGCCCCGCAGGCAAGGCCAGGCCAGAGTCACGCTTCCAGAACGGTGCCCAGTCAGCACGCCCTTCTGAGCCCTCTCTGCGTCTCGCCGATAGCCCTGTTGCTATCCCACCTGCCCTCAGACAGGATCTCTCTGAGTGTTTGCACAGCATCCGCGTGTCTGGCTCTAAGTTGTTTCCCTTCTCGTTGGTTTATTATAATTACCAAGGAACAAATTGTTGAGCCAGAGAAATGCAGATATGTTGGAAAACTGCCTTCCCGACGTGTTGGGAGTAATAGTCCATTAGCAGGCTGTCAGTTTTTAAAAGATAATCTTAAGGCTCATGCCTGTAATCCCTGCACTTTGGGAGGCCAAGGTAGGAGGATTGCCTGAACCCAGGAGTTTGAGGCTGGTCTGAGCAACATAATAAGACGTCGCCTCCACAAAAATCAAGAAAATTAGCCAGGCATGGTGGCATGTGCCTGTAGTCCCAGTTACTCGGGAGGCTGAGGAAGAAGGATTGCCTGAGCCCAGGAAGTCCAGGCTGGGGTGAGTCGTGATTATGCCAGTGCACTCCAGCCTGGGCAACAGAGGGAGACCATGTCTCAAAAAAGAAGAAAAGAAAAAAATATTTTACGGAAGTCAGAAACCGTGTGCCTTCCTTTTCAATGGAAATATTAAAGCCGGGCTTGGTAGCTCAGCCTGTAATCCCGCTCTTTGGGCGGCTGAGGTGAGTGGATTGCCTGAGCCCGCGGGTTCGAGACCCGCCCGGGCAGCTTGGCGAGACCTCATCTCTACAATAAGTCAAAAATTAGCCGGGCGTGGTGGCGCACGCCTGTAGTTCCAGCTACTTGGGAGGCTGAGGCGGAAGGATCACCGGAGACCAGCAGGTCGAGGCTGCGGTGACCGGGAGCGGCCTCTGCACTCCAGTCTGGGCGACCGAGTGAGACTCCAACTCAAAAAAAACAAAAAACAAAAAGAAATATTAAAATACCTATTAAAGTTAATGTAGGAAACGTCAACGCTTTTGTTTTTCAGTGGCTAGGAATGTGCTCTCAGTAAACGAATATCTGTATCATAATCTGTGAAATAGATTGAATGTCACATTCTAAAAGGTTACATAAGTATTTTTAGCAAAGTGGCAGAAAAACGATTAAAAGGAACCAGTTGCTTTGTGCCACAAAAAAGGAATTTATTTACAAGAAATTGCGTATTTGTTCTTACATGTTTAAACTTCAGTCACCTTCAAAGTACTCTTCATTTGATGCAATACACCTATCACGATACTTTTTCACTGCTCAACAACTCAAAAGGAGACTACTCAAAACAGTTTTTGAACTTGTTGATTTTGATGCCTTTTAGTCCATCCGCCATTTTTTGTTTCACCTCTTCCACATCAGCAAAACATTTCCCTCTGAGGACTTTTTTCATCCAGGGAAACAAAAAAGAATTGCTCAGGTTGAGACCAGGTGAGGCATGGGAGTCGTGCTATTTTTTATTTTTGGTCTGAACAAAAAACTACTGAACACTCAGCGTGGTGTGGGCAGGTGTACCCATAAAGCACCCATCATGAAAATGGGCAAACGCTTCGAAAGAATCTCCCAGAAAATTCGCCGAAGCCGAACACAGCCTCTTAATACAATGCTAGCTAGTGCACTGATGCTGATGGAGTCCTAGAACACTTAAAGAGGGGAAGCCTGTCCTCCAAGGTAATTCCGTGTGTTGTTTTTTTTGTCCCCCTCGTATATTCTGAGACACCGAAAAGCACGTCAGGAAGATGCCCAGGCCCACCACCTTCCGCTGGAATACACGCGAGGCTCCAGGGGCGTTGGGGAGGTCACACGGGTCACACACCCCTTGGGGAGCTGCCTCTTCCATGGCCTTGTAGAGAGGAGGTCAGGTGCAGGCCACAGACACTTTGTGACCTACAGTAAAGGTGCTGTCTGTCCCCCTTGTTTGCCAGTGACTTGTAGTTTTCTTTTGTCTTTGATTTTAGACAAGCCATCTACGATGCCTTTGAACGCTTCCTCCATAAGTACGCTAACTGATTGGATCACTGTGTGACCCTGCGCCTGTCATGTTTCTCACCAAAGGAATGTTTATCTCTGGTGATGGGAAGAACAGACAGGCGGCACTGTGTGTCTGACGCTGTCCACTCAGCAATGTGGATCAGTCACCTCTAAGGACTTCAAGTACATTTGAGAAATTTTAAAACAGTATTTGAATGAAGTAATGTACAAGTATTTTTATTGTTTGTTGAAATCCTTAATATCTGGTCTGCTGTTACTATTTATGAAAACTTTACATTTTTAATTATGAATAATTTACTCATTTAAAATAAATGTGTTCATAGAGAGCCTATCAGTTTTTAATAGAATTGCTAAATCAAACTAGGGTTGTAATATATTAGTCTTACTGTATATCCTTATATGACAGTTCACTTTTGATTTGGGAAACATGTTTATTTCTACTTTGAATGAGTGGTGACTTTATAATCTGGTTTTTCACTTTAAATTTCTGCCATGGAAATAAATACTTTTGATGTGTAAAATCAGTGTTAGCTTTGAATTGTAAGATATCCTGATTGCTTTGTGGATAAATGTTTTTAATAAAGTGAGTGGTGTGGCTGGGCACAGTGGCTCATGCCTGTAATCCCAGCATTTGGGAAGCCAAAGTGGAAGGATTGCTTATTCCAGGGGTTTGAGTCCAGTTTAGGCAACATAGTGAGACCTCATCTCTAAAACAAGACAAAATTGTTTAAAAATAGTGAGTGAGCCAAGCTCGGTGGCTCAGCCTTTAGTCCCGCGCCTTTGGGAGGCTGAGGTGCGTGGATTGCCTGAGCCCGCGGGTTCGAGACCCGCCTGGGCAACTTGGCGAGACCTCATCTCTACAATAGATCAAAAATGAGCCGGGCGTCGTAGCGCACGCCTGTAGTTCCAGCTACTCGGAAGGCTGAGGCGGAAGGATCGCCGGAGCCCAACAGGTCGAGGCTGCGGTGGCCGGTAGCAGCCACTGCACTCCAGTCTGGGCGACAGAGTGACACTCCAACTCAAAAATAAAATAAAATAAAGTAGCCGGGCTCGGTGGCTCAGCCTGTAATCCCACGCCTTTGGGAGGCTGAGGTGAGTGGATTACCTGAGCCCGCGGGTTCGAGACCCGCCTGGGCAGTGAGACCTCATCTCTACAATAAATCAAAAAATCAGCCGGGCGTGGTAGCGCATGCCTGTAATTCCGGCTACTTGGAAGGCTGAGGCGGAAGGATCGCCAGAGCCCAGCGGGTCGAGGCTGCAGTGGCCGGGAGCGGCCACTGCACTCCAGTCTGGGTGACAGAGTGAGACTCCAACTCAAAAAATAAAATAAAGTGAGTGCTGAAATGCACATAAGAGGCGCTTTACTAGACAATAAAACTTTGCCAAAGGCTGGGCGTGATAGCTCAAGCCTGTAATTCCAGCATTTTGAGAGGCTGAGGTGAAAGGATTGCCTGGGCCTGGGGGTTCAAGACCAGCCTGGGCAGCGAGACCTCATCTCTACAACAAATCAAAAAGTAGCCGGGCGTGGTAGCGTGCGCTGTAGTTCCAGCTACGCGGAAGGATCGCCGGAGCCCAGCAGGGCGAGGCTGCGGGGGCCGGGAGTGGCCACTGCCCTCCAGTCTGGGCGACAGAGTGAGACTCTGACTCAAAAAAACTTCCCTATTTTAAAAGATTCATGAAAATTTTCGTGAAAAGTGGAAATATTGGAAAACCTATTGCATTAATTGATGGATACTGGGTCTGACGTCTTCTTGTGTGCCCACTCTTGGGCTTGCTCGACATCTGACTTCACTGTTTCCACACACTTAACAGCTTTGGCTTTTTAACTTCAGAATTTATTTTACAGGAAGAAATTAAAGTTTTATCTAATAACTGCTGGCTTCTTAGAATGGGGGATTATATGACTAGACTTGGCGCTTCTCTCTATGTTAAACTTTTCTAGCTGAGAGCTAAAACGTTTGAGGGTATGTGTGAAAGTTTGGAAAGTATTTCAGGGTTTTTTGGAAATCTGTTGTCTGTGAATCATAAACAGTTATTCTTACTCTAGTAAGGATATCTGAATTATAGCGTTCCTTGGCAGGCTTTTTAATGGAGATTTCATTTGTCACTCTATGTCTCCATCTCAACTCTTCACCACTATTTGAAATCAATAACATGAAGTCATTGATGGCAGACGACATAGTAGTGTCACTAAAAATGCTTTGGCAGAGCAAACCAACACGATACAGCTATCGGAGCTCCAGCAATTGTGCATATTCAGGTGAGAATCTTTAGCTTTGACTGGAAGTACAAAACCTAACATTCTTCTAAAAATAACCTTCAAAGATAAAGTGACACTCACTGTCCACTGAATTACGACTTGTATCATGCATCTGGTGACGTGGTATGATTGAATGCTTTCTGAACAGTGGCTTAGTAAAACTAGTGCTTTATTCTTTTTCACCAAGCAATAATATACTGTGGTGTATGAGTTTCTGCTTGTAAAAAGTGAAATTTTTATCAGTTGTAGTTAACTCTTAGGCATAACTAATCTTTCTCAAATAAAATGTGAAAAGGGTATTTTAAAGGTTTCATCTCTTAACCAGATGTTTTAAGAATATATCCATGCTGGACATGGTAGCTCATGCCTGACATCCCAGCATTTGGGAGGCAGAGATGAGAGGATTGTCTGAGCCCACAGGTTCAAGACCAGCCTGGGCAACTTGGCGAGACTTCGAGTGTACAATAAATCAAAAAAATTAGCTGGGCATGGTGGCGCATGCCTGTGGTTCCAGCTACTTGGAAGGCTGAAGTGGAAGGATCACCTGAGCCCATCAGGTCGAGGCTGCAGTAGCCATGAGCATGTCACTGCACTCCAGCCTGGATGACAGAGTGAGACTCCAACTCAAAAAAAAAAGAAAAGAAAAAAGAATATATCCATGACACTACCTTACTTGATTAACTCAAAGTACAAAATGCCATTTCTTAGAGTTTTTTAAATTCACCCCCGTCAAAGTAGCAGCTTAAATAGTCTCAGATATTTATTACGTAAAATCTCAGCTTTGAGGCACAGGTAGGACATAAAATGCTGGAGACTCATTAGACCCAAGTTGCAGGCTGTTGCCCCGCAAGCCAGCGACCCACACTTGGTTGCTCGTGCTGTGATGGCTCGGGGCCTTGAGCTTGATGTATCTGTTGACTGGGCATCGTGCCGCCTCCACGGTCCACGGGGTTCTCTTCATGTAACTGCTCTCCTGTGTTTCCTGAGTGACCTGGATGATGGCTGGCTTAAGACGTTGGTATAGCTCTGGGGGTAGAAAAAGCTTCTGAATGTTGGCTGGGTGTGGTGGCTCACACCTTTAATCCTAGCACTTGGGGAAGCCGAGCTGAGAGGATTGTCTGAGCCCATGGATTCCAGACCAGACTGGGCAACTTAGTGAGAACTTGTCTCTACAATAAATCAAAAAATTAGCCGGGCGTGGTGACGCATGTCTGTGGTTGGAAGGCTGAAGCAGAAGGATCGCCTGAGCCCAGCAGGTTGAGGCTGCAGTGGCTGTGAGCGTGTCACTGCACTCTGGCCTGGGTGACAGAGTAAGACTCCGACTCAAAAAAAGAAAAAAAAAGCTTCTGAATGTCATGCTTCGCTAATGTTGTAATTACTATTAAGTCATTTTAGTGTATGCATTTTAGATTGTTTCTTATGAATGTATTTTTTAATGTGGTGTTTTCTCATAAAGATTATGAAATTGCTAACACTGTAACTGAGATTTAAAAAATCATTTCCAGCCGGGCTCGGTGGCTCAGCCTGTAATCCTGCGCCTTTGGGAGGCTGAGGTGAGTGGATTGCCTGAGCCCGCGGGTTCGTGACCCGCCTGGGCAGCGAGACCTCATCTCTACAATAAATCAAAAATCCAGCTGGGCGTGGTAGCGCGCGCCTGTAATTCCGGCTACTCAGAAGGTGGAGGCAGAAGGATCGCCGGAGCCCAGCAGGTCGAGGCTGCGGTGGCCGGGAGTGGCCACTGCCCTCCAGTCTGGGCGACAGAGTGAGACCCCAACTCAAAAAAAAAAAATCATTTCCAAACATTTTATATTTCACAATAAAAGTCTACTTCAAAAGCTAATCATTTGGTCCTCTTTTCCGAGTGGTGGTATTGTAAATACAGAAGGCATGTGTCACGTTGGATGAATGAACCCAGACCGGATCTGGGCGTGTATGAGGTGTGGCAACTCAGTTCACGAACTTGTCTTTGGGAAAGTGCTCCATATCCCATTGCTGAATATCTCTATGGTCACCTGTGACGTACTCCCCTTGGAAAGCTATGCTTCCACACCAGAGCCTGGTCTGCCCAGCAAAGCAATTTTGGAACTCTTGCTCTGGAATGGTCACAGAGCCATCGCTGTATCACCCTTAATGTCCTGAATGTCGTCAGGACTTCAATATTTCTTCCTTTCAATATTTCTTTTACCTTCCGAAAAGGAAAAAAGTCACTGAGGCGAGATCAGGTGAGTAGGGAGTATAACTATGGGTTACTAGCTTACTGGCTCAAACTCCCTCCCGGAGCACGCTGGTGCGAGCTGGTGCGTTGCTGTGATGCAGGCGCTCCTTCGGGCCGTGTTTACTCACCTTTTTCTTGTACACGATTTTTCGGTCACAATTTTCCTGTTGCTCTTTTTTTTTTTTTTTGAGTTGGAGTCTCACTCTGATGCCCAGGCTGGAGTGTAGCGGTGTAGTGGACGCTCACGGCCACTGCAGCCTCGACCTGCTGGGCTCTGGCAATCCTTCCACCGCAGCCTTCCAAGGAGCTGGAATGACAGGCGAGCACCACCACACCCAGCTAATTTTATGATTTATTGTAGATACGAGGTTTTGCCAAGTTGCCCAGGTTGGTCTCAAACCCCTGGGCCCAGGCGGTCCTCTTGCCTGTGATTCCCAAAGTGTTGGGGTCACTGAACCCAGCTAAGATTTTCTCTGTTGATGTTTATTTGGTCTGCCGTGGCTTTCACAGTGAGCAGACAATTTTGATGTACAATTTGACACGTTTTTGCAATGTTTTCATCAATTCTGCTCATTAATAACCATCCTGACCTCATCCTCAGTGATGCTTTCTCTCCCTTCAGAAAAATGTTTAATCCATTTGTATACTGAAGTTTTTTTCCATGGCATTATTCCGATAAACTTTGGACCAACATGTCCCCAATTTCACGTACACTCTTGTGAAGTTTAACAAAAAATGTAATGTTTGTTGCTCTAATTCGTTCGAACCCTAACGTTCTCATGATGACAGCTCTGATGACCGTTCCAGAAAAAGAGCTCCATCATGGCTTTGACGGGTGGACTAGGCACAGGTATGTCTTCCCAAGGGGAAGACTTTGGAGGTGACCCTGCAGTGGCATTCAGCAGGGAGGGATGGAGCACTCCTTCTAGGATGAGCTTGTTCCCTGTCAGGGTGAATGGCCCAGACAAGTTAATGCAGAAGTAAGCAAGGGGGCCTCTCGCAGAACAGTCGATATTTCCTTGACGAGAGCCAAGTTCGCCCCAACGGGG